TTTCGCTCGGTACTGCTATCCTTTCGCCGATCCTTAATGTCAGTATCAAGCCTGCAAAAAAGCGAAATGATTCTCATAATCTGATTCTGCGAATCCTTGAAAACAGTGCTGCAAAATACCATCTAATTCAGCCTATTGCATTATTTAACGAATAATTGTGTTCAGCCATTTGTTTTCTCTTCTTTAACTTCCACTCACCTACTTCCCATCTTACTTATTTTTAAAAATCTCTACAACATCTCATCAAAACAAGTAAAAAATTTCAATTTTTCGGTTTTAACTGTCATTTTTGCAAAGAAGTAATGGAGAAAATTTCAAGCTAATCACCAATAGAAAAGGTGAGAAAATATGCATAAAATGCTTCATGCACAGCCGGATAGAGAAGCTGCTTCATCTGCAGCCAACGCATATTTCCCGTCAGCATACCGACAAACAGTGAGAGCCTTAAAAGACGCCACACCGTCTGATTCTGTCCTCGGAAACCGGAAATCCTCAAAAGATGAGAATTTGGTTATAATCTTTTACAAGTCCATTAGAAAAAAACTTCTTTAGAATGCACATATTCATTCAAAAATTGAGACAAAAGTGGCCCAACATGGCACGGGAATGAAAGGATTAGGATCAAAGGACAAATCAGTATGTTCCGCTGGATAGTTGCATCCTGGTAAACATTACGAACAACAGATCTCACGCTGATTATCTTGAGTAATCTTGCCAATTTTGGTAACTGTAAACTCTAAAAATTGCGCACAAATCCTTGTACTGAAAGCTCACAGTAACAGTGCGTAAATAATGAAGACGAGAAGGATGGATAAGAAAACACGTTCAGAGTAACCGCAGGCTGTAAGCTGATGTTCAACAATAGCTCCCGCTGATTTGGTACTGAGATCAAGCTCGGCCTTCTGATTCAGTGACCTGCAATTTCCAACTATTACTGCGGAAGAAGATTCTATTAACATTTGAAAAAAAAATAGATAATCGCACTCGTTCTCCGAACTTTTCAGAGATACACTCAAAATCACATTTGTGATACGTTTATTGCTAAACATGCATTCAACTCAAAAAAGATCTGTTCATTCCTTAAAAGTTTAGTTGGTCAATGACTCACTTTTCGGCATTTCCAGGTTCGAAAAAGAAAGAGTAGCAGGAAACTGACAAAGCAATTTGTTGTGTAATTCGGTTTGTGTTTTTAGAATAGTCTAACTTATCTGTCTATTGGCCTTTTGCCTGGTTTCATGCTTATTGCGCAGTTTAACTATCTAGCGATTTTATTTATCTCACTACTTCTGCAGAAATGATGTCGCAAAGGCAAGACATATAAATACGAGAAAATACATTTGATTTTAGTTTTATTTGCTTCTGATTCTAGTCCGAAATTCAGTGAAGGAAAGCGGCTAATATTACGATTTTGCTTCAGAACACACCGAGGATCTCGGTTTCGAAAATCTGATAAAATGCATGTAAATTCTGGGCCGCTGCTTTCATTGTACTAGGATTATTGTCTCAGTTCCTCCATTCAGTTTCAAAATAAAAGCTGAAGACGTTAAGCTAGGATGGGCAAGAAATTACAGCCTCTGATAAATCTGAGTCTAAACTGTAAGGTTTCCTTACCAAAGTGAGAAGTCAATGAATTTAAATCCTTTTTTGAGTAAAAACTTCTGTGATGCTTGTGCAAATGCCGAAGTGTTAAAAAATGTGTCTCCTAGAACTCCTTTTGCCCATACGCATTGGTGATTAGGAATAAATGCGATTGATACGTCAGTGGCAACGAGGATTTTAAGTAGATGGAGCGCATTTCCTTGTTTTGTGTGTGCCAATACCTTAGTCGCAATCTCATTAAAAGTTAGCGAAAGAAAAGCCAGGACTAGCTGTAAAAGGCCTAGGCTTTTGAAAAGTAGCCCGAATGGTAGCTAAGCAGAAACCACCCGCTGGCAAGGCTGTCGATTAACGAATCGGGGAGGAACTGGGGTCCATCGAGGAATCTTACTGTCGATTTGTTATGGCAAGATACTGCGTCATACTCGTCGCCTGTGGAGTTATCACTGTAGCGAAAGCATGTAACTAAGTGTCGTTCGTCAGCTTATTAAAGTAGCATTGCGCGAGTTACAATGCTCTGTAAGATACAAAACCACCAACCAAATGTACCCGTGCATCCATATTGGACTGAACAGGAAATCGAATGTTTGACAGCTAAAAAATGATGCGAAACTGAGTCGCAGGAAAAAGTCAACTCGCTGTCGGATGACAGCTTCCTTTTCAGCAACTTCTTCTGATGGCAAGAAATACGAAAAAAGCATCTGCAACAGAATATCATTGTAAATAAAACATCTCGTACCAGTAATGAAGCTAATAAGCCGCGAATGTTAATCGCTTTCCCTTTTCTACGATCAGAGTGTGCTAACCTGCAGATTCAAGCGAGAAAGTTGCTTAAATGGACTGAAATTTCCAGATTCTATTGAAAGGTGACAATTCTAGCTAATGACAAGGCTGAACGGAGGAAACGGAATGGAGAAAATGGAGACAAGTTTGGATAAGAGGTAGTTAAATTCAAGGTTTAATTGACAAAACAATAAAAATAGGAAGAGTGAGGCTATTTAGAAATTTCAAAATTTGTTACATCCGCAAATATGGACT